ATATAATATATAAATAAAAATAAGATAAATAAAATAATTTTATAAAAATAAATCTTTTCAAAATTTTTGAATGTTTTTTATTAAAAAAAAATAAATTTCTCGATGTTAATTGAATTTTCACAGTAGTGGTCATAATATATTAAATATTAAGATAAATAACAAGAAATATAATACAATATTAATACAATTTAATACAATATTAAAAATGAATAAAATTTTATTATGCTTTTATTTTTATTTTATTTTATTATATATATATATTATTATTTTTATTTTACGTAAAGATGTTCATAATGTGGTTAAATATATTTTATATATCTTGTATTGAAAAATCGACAACTACTGTGACTAAAAATAAATTAAATTTGGATTATTTTGAAATAACATTCAATGTTGTTTACATAATATATAATACATAATACAAATGTTGTTTACATAAACACATATACTTATAGCAAGATGAGCAACCAGAAAACACAAAGATAGAAGCAGAAGAGGAGTTAAAAACTAATAAAACTAACATATCCTCCGATGAAACGAACAATTCTACTGCAAATAATGATAGTTCTGATCATAGTGGAAACAATGAAAATCAGGATTTGACTAATAAGGAGCATAAAATATATTCCAATACACAAAATATAGGACAGGTATCATAAACTTAACATGCATTCTAAAGTTTTAATTTGTAATTAAATTACAATTTGAAAATTTATATGCATTTTATCATATCAAAATAAGGATGCTTATTCGAGGAATGTTCCATATACTCCCATTTATTTTAGTAATATGTATACATTTTGACATAAAAATATATATATATTCTTTAGCTTCTAAAATATATATACACACACACATATATATATGTGTATATTTTAATATAAAAGTTATATATTTTATTATCAATATTCGTCTTATTATGGAAAATCAATATGTATAATTTTATATATATATTTTTTTAATTATATATGATTTTTAATAAGTATTCATGATATAGAATATATTAGATTAATGATATAAATTAAAATATAATTCATAAAAAATTCAAATAGAACTTTAGGGCATGTTATTAATAATGAATATTACGTGGGTACAAGAATGTAATATATTTTAAAAAAACATCTTTAAATAAACATTCTCATATATTATTACCATGAATGATATTTTAGTGTATTTTTCCAATAACTTACAAAATTTTATTTATTGATATCACTTACTTCTTTTACTTATATAATTTTTAAGTTTATCATTCCATCATGTATATGTATATTGTTATCACAGTACTAAAAAAATCTACTCTAAAAATGTAAATTAAAATGTAAATTAATAATCTGTTAAGTTTATTTAATATATATTTAAATTTTATATTTATATATTTAACAAAAAAACTAATGTAATTGTTAATGTAATTGTTAGATATTATTATTAGTGAAACAAAACATATTTTCGTTTTTATTTTATATTTTTTTATTATTTTATTTCACATTCTTCTTTTATTTCAGTATCATTATACTGATTGAAATATTTTATTATTATTTACATTCACATCTATACCACATAACACCGGAAGAAAGACATAAAACATTTTATATGATGATAGCATAATGAATGTAAATAATCGAATGTAATCGTTAAAATAAAGGATGTATGTGGTTTCAGTTTGTAAAGATTATTACGCTTGCACAAAGCTTTAGAATGCATTGTCTTTTTTAAAATGCTTGTTGCCAATAATGTATTTTATGTAAATATATATTTAATTACATTTTATTTTGTATTTAGTATATGCTTCTATATTTATCAATTTTTTGCCATTAGTTTATTATCTAATTTTTAAATAGTATATAAGGCAAGTTAGATATTTGAATGTTGATTTTTTTTATTTTAAACTTGAACAATTTATATATTACAGATATAAATTGTTATGTATAAATTCAAACAATCCGTACATGGTAATAAAATAATTTACTTAATTTAATAATTTTTAATTATTTTTTTTACATTTTTAGAAAATTTTTAAAAAAATTTATTTCTATATGCAACAAAAAAGATTGAAAATCTTTTGAAAATTTTTAATATTTTTTGTATAAAAATTGAAAAAAATCGAATTAAAAAAAATAATACAAATATATATAATTGTTAAAATAAATAATTTCTATTGTGAAAGTTAATTATTAAATTTTTCTTATTTTATTTTGTTTGACGATGTGTTCAATATTTTTTAAAATCTATACATAATTAAAAAATGTTTTATTGAAAAATATCCAGTTGATCTTCAATATTATGTTTATAACTAACATAAAAATTATAGCATTTTGATGTTTTCTTTAAATTATATTAACTTTTATTGTAAAACATTTTCTCATATAATGGACTTTATAAATATTCAAGTTAAGTGATTACAAATTAAATAATTATTAAACTTTATTAATTATACTTTGTTAATAACACTTCTTAATTATTTTTTAATAATAATTTCAAAATATTATGAATGAAAAATCAATGCAATTATTTGGTAAGATGCATGATTTTATATAATGAAAAAGTGTAATACTTTTTGTGTAACACGTTTTGTGCCGTTTGTATTTTAAATGAAAGTTATAGAAAATTTAACTAGAAAAAAAAAATTTAACTAGAAAAAAATTTTCTTTTATATCTTTATTTGGATAATATAGTATATAATTTTTTATCTAATAAAAATTTTACTTTCATCAACTGTACTGTGTTTTACATGATTCAGTAAATAATGAAATATGGCACGAAATGTATTATAGAAATAAATAAATATTATTTAAGAAATATAAATAAAATTAAATAATTATCCTAATTTTTATTTAAATAGGCACATAAAACTTTTACGAAAATATAAGATCAATTGCTGATATTACATAATATAATAAATGCAATTTAACAATTTAACGAGTTCATTAAATTGGGAATTTTTACAATTTTATTGTTGTAATAGAATATAATATTTTATATATCGAGTCTTTTGTTTCAGGTATACAATCTTTCAAAAAAATATTCAGAAGATTATCCTGTCATCTTTAACATATTCTTATGGTTTGGAGTTGTTTTTGTCTTTTCGCTTCTTGCTATTTGCAGTACGTAATTTTTATTATTATATTATTTTCAATAATATAATAGTATAGAATTGTTCTAATTTTTATTTGTTGATAAAACAGTTGCCATTTCACAAATGGATCCAGGACGAGATTCTATAATATACAGAATGACTTCTAATCGTATGAAGAAAGACAATTAAATGTAAATATAAATTAATATTATTCAAGTAAAAAAATATTCTTCATTCTTATATAATGCACTTTATTTTATTAGTTTTGTTTAAAAAAATATGTAAAATTCCATCTCAGATTATTGAAATGATCTTTTTTATATGTAGAAATACAATGAATCATTATCGTATATAAACTACTTGTAAACAATCAATCATTTATTATCAATTGTAAAATATAATGTAAACAATTATTTACTTTATTTTTTTTGTTAAATGTTATATAGAATAATTAAATAACTGAAATTGTATATATATATATATATACACAAAAATGTTTAGATTAAATTAAATCTGTTATAAGCGAGTACAAAATATATATTCAAATGTGAAATTATAGAAAATAAAATTATCAAAATTAAGTTAAATATTTTGTTAGCTAAGTTAATTAAACAAATATTAATGTAATTGTAAATTTGATTATATCATGTTATATAAAACTATAAATATGGACATGTGCATATACATTTTTATATTGAAGATTTATACATATTAAGATATATTGAATTAAAATAACAAAGATTTTTTCTTTTTAAAAGAACTTGTAATCAAAAATCTTGATCAGATAATACTTAATAATATCAGATTTCCTGTTAATTAATATCCATGAATCATAAAAATCAAGTTATTATATGATAGAATAATCTTTTTTTTTCATATTAAATCTGAATAAAATCAATTACATATGATTATCACAAAAAAATTAATAATAAATATTATGCTATATTATATAAAAAATAATATTATATAAATTTAACGCGTATTTATAAAATTATTTTGTAATTAAAATTGATTAATATGTATGAGTATGAGATCGTCTTTATATTCATTTTCAATTTTTCAATTTTATTAATTCAATAATAGTTTTTTCTTCTTCATAAACTTAAAAAATTATAAAAATATAAAATATAAATTAAAATATATGTTTTCGTTAATGTATATACAATTTATCCTATAGAAATATCATATTAATAACTATACATAACTATATATATATATATATATAAACAATGATATATTATAAATTAATATACATAAAAATAATAATAGATAAATAAAATATTCTATGAAATTTTCTCTTTTAAATAATCAAATATTTATTGCAAGTTAATACTATTTCAGTGTAGTTTAAAATTCAATTTTTTTTTCTTTTATTAATCAATAATGAATGAAAATTATAGAATAATTTTTTTTTGAAAATAGTTATATAATTGTTAAAATTACAATATATAATGAATGTTTATGACATATTTTTTTCAAAAATATTTTTCAATTATTCATTTATTAATTAAAAAATAATTATTTCAAATTTTACATATATATATATATATA